TAATATTGTAAATAACAAGTCCTGCAGTGTTGGTTAATTTCAAATTACAATAACTTGGCTAATTATGAACATATTTTGATATTTCTTTCAGTTTTGTATTTTTCGTTTCTAAAGATATGGGAATAAGTTACTTCAGTACAGTTTACTACACAGGTGAAAGCCCGGGCGGTGTTTGTATTGCAAATAACAAACGTCTGGCGCTACTCCAGCGGGTTGTTGCGATGTTACAAAGTTCAAATAACCATAACTCGGTCAAATTTAATGATTTTTTCACCATTTTTTGATCACTACATTCATACTGTTACAAACAATGCAAATAATACAATCATAATGGTGTATAAGTGGAGACAAACGCCCGGGCGGTCAATATATCACTACCGGGCTGTCCCGGGCTGTGCCGGGCTCTACCGGGCTGTACCGGGCTGTAATGAGAAGCACCGCTAATTTGATTAGAGTTATTTCCCCTGTCCAAGATGTCCGCGCCCATGGTAAATCCCACATTGCTTCAGCTTTTCAGCAAGGCGGCATTGTAGCTGGATTGCATAGTTGTCTGATGCGTATTATGAACAGTAGTTAATAATGCTGCATCTATACTTAAGTCCGGATATTTAGACTTCAAGGTGGGTTTTTTCATCAGCATGAGGTCTAATTTAGCCTTTAGACTACTAAAAAGGCTAAATTAGACCTCTAATAGTAATATTAAATATACCCGTCCTCCTCTGCCCCGGGCGGAACAATGTCTCGTAGTCAGAAGCTACGCTATTACTGTTACACAGCTAATCAGCCCTAGGAATGGTTTCATTATTCTTAATAGTAAAGGCTGTGTGTATGCGTAAAAGTCAAAGTCCTGTGTCCAATAAATGTCCAACAAACTGATTTTAAGTCATGATTAACATATAACGTTAGTCCTTTTACTTTATCAGGGGTCCGGTGGGCACAACGGCGTATATGGGTAATAATCCTGTATTTGGGTAACAGGTACCCATTTGAGTAACAATTTTATTACTGAAATGGGCAATATTAAAAGTGAAAGAAAAACACAAAGTTCCTTTACACAGTATTAACAAAAAAAGGGCATCATTCTTTCAACAAAAACAAATAAAAAATACTATAACGTACAATTGTGTACAAAAATATGTTTATTCAGTTGTCTAAATTTTTGTGAAAATGACACACAGAAAAAATCATGCATTTTGAACTGGATGGTCCCATTGATCACTACACACTGAAGTCAATGGAAAACAAAGTCAGTGATATGGTTTGTCCTTTTCACAAAAGTTAGACATCAGAATTGATAATTTTTTGTGGACAAATGTACTTCATAGACAAGACTAACATGAGAACTACAAACTATAAAGTACAATCAACATCATCGACAGGTCTGTGTGTAACAACAGTAGAGGATTCCCACCACCACCTTATAGAACAGTAGAGGATGCCCACCACCACCTTATAGAACAGGAGAGGGTTCCCACCACCCCCTTATAGAACAGTAGAGGATTCACACCACCACCTTATAGAACAGTAAAGGATTCCCTCCACCACCTTATAGAACAGTAGAGCATTCCCACCACCACCTTATAAAACAGTAGAGCATTCCCACCACCACCTTATAGAACATGAGAGGATTCCCACCACCACCTTAGAGAACAGTAGAGGATTCCCTCCACCTCCTTATAGAACAGTAGAGGATTCCCAACACCACCTTATAGAACAGTAGAGCATTCCCACCACCACCTTATAAAACAGCAGAGGGTTCCCACCACCACCTTATAGAACAGTAGAGTATTCCCACCACCACCTTATAGAACAGTAAAGGATTCCCTCCACCACCTTATAGAACAGTAGAGTATTCCCACCACCACCTTATAGAACATGAGAGGATTCCCACCACCACCTTATAAAACAGCAGAGGGTTCCCACCACCACCTTATAGAACATGAGAGGATTCCCACCACCACCTTAAAGAACAGTAGAGGATTCCCACCACCGCCTTATAGAACAGTAGAGGATTCACACCACCACCTTATAGAACAGTAAAGGATTCCCTCCACCACCTTATAGAACAGTAGAGCATTCCCACCACCACCTTATAAAACAGTAGAGCATTCCCACCACCACCTTATAAAACAGCAGAGGGTTCCCACCACCACCTTATAGAACATGAGAGGATTCCCACCACCACCTTAAAGAACAGTAGAGGATTCCCACCACCCCCTTATAGAACAGTAGAGGATTCCCAACACCACCTTATAGAACAGCAGAGGATTCCAACCACCACCTTATAGAACAGTAGTGGATTCCCACCACCACCTTATAGATCAGTAGAGGATTCCCACCACCACCTTAAAGAACAGTAGAGGATTCCCACCACCTCCTTATAGAACAGTAGAGGATTCGCACCACCACCTTATAGAACAGTAGTGGATTCCCACCACCACCTTATAGATCAGTAGAGGATTCCCACCACCACCTTATAAAACAGCAGAGGGTTCCCACCACCACCTTATAGAACATGAGAGGATTCCCACCACCACCTTAGAGAACAGTAGAGGATTCCCTCCACCACCTTATAGAACAGTAGAGGTTTCCCACCACCACCTTATAGAACAGAAGAGGATTCCCACCACCACCTTAAAGAACAGTAGAGGATTCCCACCACTACCTTATAGAACAGTAGAGGATTACCACCACCACCTTATAGAACAGTAAAGGATTCCCTCCACCACCTTATAGAACAGTAGAGGTTTCCCTCCACCGCCTTATAGAACAGTAGAGGATTCACACCACCACCTTATAGAACAGTAAAGGATTCCCTCCACCACCTTATAGAACAGTAGAGGCTTCCCACCACCACCTTATAGAACATGAGAGGATTCCCACCACCACCTTAAAGAACAGTAGAGGATTCCCACCACTACCTTATAGAACAGTAGAGGATTCGCACCACCACCTTATAGAACAGTAAAGGATTCCCTCCACCACCTTATAGAACAGTAGAGCATTCCCACCACCACCTTATAGAACAGAAGAGGATTCCCACCACCACCTTATAGAACAGTAGAGGATTCCCACCACCACCTTATAGAACAGACCAATACAGAGAATCCTTCTTTATACGTACTGTAACAGACTGGGACCATCTACCAGACACCATAATCAAATGCAGCAGTTTTGAGGACTTTAAAACAGCCCTTGAATCACGCGACTAAGAACTATTAGCGCTGTCTCTCACCTGCTGTAACACACCAGTTTTGGTTACTTCAGCGTATCCATACGCGAATCCATACAGATACAGATTGTGTTATTTGTTGGATTTAGTTGAAAGAAAAACGCCCTTTTTTCTCCAAGTGTTTAAAAGAACTTTGTGTGATTTTATTCCACTTTTTTCCCCATTTCAGTAATAAAATTGTTACTCAAATGCAGGATTATTACCCATATACGCTGTTGTGCCCAGCCTGTTTATCACCACTTCCACCATTGTTTATTTTGAAGAAAAACACCGAGCACACGATAGGCCTATTTTTACACTGACCTACTTGTATATCATGATAAAAAAACCTTTAAAGTTTGAGGGACGCGGTTCAGGTATATAACATATATAAAGTATAGTAGATTCCAGTGATGGATCCAGAGAGATTTTTGGGCTTCAAGTACAACCCCCACCCCCATCCACTCTGAGATTTTTCTTTAAAAATCATGTATTTTCACCATCTAATTTTCCTGAATTTTTCCCCACATGGACACACACCCCCCCCCCCATCTGCCCCCCTCCCCCTGGATAGGTCTCTGGATCCGATGTAAGATGATAAGATGTATTTGCCATATAATCGCATATCTGATATGACTTTTTTACCTTTTTAGATAATAAGGATTTCAGTAACTATGGAATCCTATATAAAATAGAAAAAGCCCACTAAGATATTCCTGTGGTTAGTTTACAATTTGGCAAGTTTCAGCAGAGTTGCCTTCATTTTCATTCAAGCTCAGCTGTGGCCGTGCACCTGTAACAGGGAGGTCGTTCCCTTTGTCTATATGCATATAAAAATCAAAATACCATGCCTATATTCTATCAAAACTTGGATATTTAATTCAAATGACAATAGTTTTTAGAACCAAAACTGATCAGTCAAGCCACAGACTTGTATATAGCATTTAATATAATTGCATGGTCAGTCAGAAGCTGTATACCCTCAAGCTCCCTTCCATTTACATGTATATCATACGTTGTTTTTTTTTTATTGTAATAGGTTTTTCATCATGGGAATTGAGTCTCTGCTTGAATCGACGGATGAAGATAAGCCAAGCCATGGACTGACCAGGAGGGGAAGTATCCTGCTTGGAGTATTCGGGGGATTGTTTGTTGGGATCTACACACTGACAGGTCCATTTCTGGCTCCAGCCCTACGCAAAATTTGCTTACCGTTCCTACCAGCATCATCTACACAGATGAAAAATGTGTTTAAAGCACTAGGCAGCCGTAAGGGAAGTTTACTGGACATTGGGAGTGGAGATGGACGAATTGTATGTAGTTTGTACTGAATCAAAATTTAAACTTATTTCAATCACCTGAAGAATACTCACTCATCAATTCATTATTGTCGCCCAAAGGCAGAGTGTTTTATGTTTGTTTGTAGTAGTCTGTGTACTGGGTTTATCATGAGTAACAAAGATAGCTCAGGTATCAGAGCAGCCGTAGGATGTTCACAGGTTCTGAGTTTAAATTCCTATCTGTCCTGTATAAGTTGTTAATTATTCCATCCTGTCAACTCATTATTTGAACATTACAGGTTGATATTATCACCGTCTAGTGGTGTACAAACATGCAGCATCTTATATGACCTACAGATTTTAATGAAATTTATAAAATATAATAAGAATTTTGCATTTTTGCAAGCCTCTAGTTCATACCATGATATTATTGTACCATCAAAATGTTTGTCAGGCGTATATAACTCCTGATGCTGAGACATTAGAAACAGCAATAATCAAAGGAACTAGAATGTATTAAGGAGAGGGAGAACCAACAAACAACCCAATGTGATGAAATTTTAGGATAAAATAAAATCTTTCTCTCTGTGACAGGTGATAGAGGCAGCCAAAAAGGGTTACAAAGCATCTGGAATTGAGCTAAATATGTGGCTGGTACTGTACTCTCGCTTGGCGGCTAGACGAGCAGGCATGGTTACTATGGCTACATTCAAGCGTCAGGATCTCTGGAAGGTATGTGAATGATGCCTTTTGGTAAACATCAAACTATCAAAGTTTACCTACCCATTGATGCCTATTGGTAAACATTAAACTATCAAAGTTTACCTACCCATTGATGCCTATTGGTAAACATTAAAATATCCCAGTTTACAACCCATTGATGCCTATTGGTAAACATTAAACTATCAAAGTTTACAACCCATTGATGCCTTTTGGTAAACATTAAACTATCAAAGTTTACAACCCATTGATGCCTTTTGGTAAACATTAAACTATCAAAGTTTACAACCCATTGATGCCTATTGGTAAACATTAAACTATCAAAGCCCTATTAATTATGGTACTTAAAAACTATGGCTACATTCAAGCGTCGTGATCTCTGGAAGGTATGTGAATGATGCCTTTTGGTAAACATCAAACTATCAAAGTTTACCTACCCATTGATGCCTTTTGGTAAACATTAAACTATCAAAGTTTACCTCCCCATTGATGCCTATTGGTTAACATTAAACTATCAAAGTTTACCTACCCATTGATGCCTATTGGTAAACATTAAACTATCAAAGCCCTATTAATTATGGTACTTAAAAACTATGGCTATATTCAAGCGTCATGATCCCTGGAAGGTATGTGAATGATGCCTTTTGGTAAACATCAAACTATCAAAGTTTACCTACCCATTGATGCCTATTGGTAAACATTAAACTATCAAAGTTTACCTCCCCATTGATGCCTATTGGTTAACATTAAACTATCAAAGTTTACCTACCCATTGATGCCTATTGGTAAACATTAAACTATCAAAGCCCTATTAATTATGGTACTTAAAAACTATGGCTATATTCAAGCGTCATGATCCCTGGAAGGTATGTGAATGATGCCTTTTGGTAAACATCAAACTATCAAAGTTTACCTACCCATTGATGCCTATTGGTAAACATTAAACTATCAAAGTTTACCTCCCCATTGATGCCTATTGGTTAACATTAAACTATCAAAGTTTACCTACCCATTGATGCCTATTGGTAAACATTAAACTATCAAAGCCCTATTAATTATGGTACTTAAAAACTATGGCTATATTCAAGCGTCATGATCCCTGGAAGGTATGTGAATGATGCCTTTTGGTAAACATCAAACTATCAAAGTTTACCTCCCCATTGATGCCTATTGGTTAACATTAAACTATCAAAGTTTACCTACCCATTGATGCCTATTGGTAAACATTAAACTATCAAAGCCCTATTAATTATGGTACTTAAAAACTATGGCTATATTCAAGCGTCATGATCCCTGGAAGGTATGTGAATGATGCCTTTTGGTAAACATCAAACTATCAAAGTTTACCTACCCATTGATGCCTATTGGTAAACATTAAACTATCAAAGTTTACCTCCCCATTGATGCCTATTGGTTAACATTAAACTATCAAAGTTTACCTACCCATTGATGCCTATTGGTAAACATTAAACTATCAAAGCCCTATTAATTATGGTACTTAAAAACTATGGCTATATTCAAGCGTCATGATCCCTGGAAGGTATGTGAATGATGCCTTTTGGTAAACATTAAACTATCAAAGTTTACAACCCATTGATGCCTTTTGGTAAACATTAAACTATCAAAGTTTACAACCCATTGATGCCTTTTGGTAAACATTAAACTATCAAAGTTTACAACCCATTGATGCCTTTTGGTAAACATTAAACTATCAAAGTTTACAACCCATTGATGCCTTTTGGTAAACATTAAACTATCAAAGTTTACAACCCATTGATGCCTTTTGGTAAACATTAAACTATCAAAGTTTACAACCCATTGATGCCTTTTGGTAAACATTAAACTATCAAAGTTTACAACCCATTGATGCCTTTTGGTAAACATTAAACTATCAAAGTTTACAACCCATTGATGCCTTTTGGTAAACATTAAACTATCAAAGTTTACAACCCATTGATGCCTATTGGTAAACATTAAACTATCAAAGTTTACAACCCATTGATGCCTATTGGTAAACATTAAACTATCAAAGTTTACAACCCATTGATGCCTATTGGTAAACATTAAACTATCAAAGTTTACAACCCATTGATGCCTATTGGTAAACATTAAACTATCAAAGTTTACAACCCATTGATGCCTATTGGTAAACATTAAACTATCAAAGTTTACAACCCATTGATGCCTATTGGTAAACATTAAACTATCAAAGTTTACAACCCATTGATGCCTATTGGTAAACATTAAACTATCAAAGTTTACAACCCATTGATGCCTATTGGTAAACATTAAACTATCAAAGTTTACAACCCATTGATGCCTTTTGGTAAACATTAAACTATCAAAGTTTACAACCCATTGATGCCTATTGGTAAACATTAAACTATCAAAGCCCTATTAATTATGGTACTTAAAAACTATGGCTACATTCAAGCGTCGTGATCTCTGGAAGGTATGTGAATGATGCCTTTTGGTAAACATCAAACTATCAAAGTTTACCTACCCATTGATGCCTTTTGGTAAACATTAAACTATCAAAGTTTACCTCCCCATTGATGCCTATTGGTTAACATTAAACTATCAAAGTTTACCTACCCATTGATGCCTATTGGTAAACATTAAACTATCAAAGCCCTATTAATTATGGTACTTAAAAACTATGGCTATATTCAAGCGTCATGATCCCTGGAAGGTATGTGAATGATGCCTTTTGGTAAACATCAAACTATCAAAGTTTACCTACCCACTGATGCCTATTGGTAAACATTAAACTATCAAAGTTTACCTCCCCATTGATGCCTATTGGTTAACATTAAACTATCAAAGTTTACCTACCCATTGATGCCTATTGGTAAACATTAATCTAACAAAGCCCTATTAATTATGGTATTTAAAAACTTTAAAAAAATCCTGTCAACAAATTTACAATTAAGCAGCTCTGATTATACACTGGGTTTTGTGATGAATTGTGTTCTGCACATGGTAATATAGGGGGCTCTTCACTACTATAAAATTTTGACAAGTTCCTGCGTAAAACAATGTTCTTCTTTACACTACAGGCTAATAAACATATTCATTACATTCATTTTTCAGACTGATGTCAGTTCTTTTGACAATGTAGTGATATTTGGTGTTAGACAAATGGTAAGTTTATATATTTTAGATATTGTAATGTTGTTTTAACTGAATATATGGTAAGCATATTAGGTAATTCATATTTACTACGGTACCTGTAATTACGGTGTCAATCTATCTGTCGTTCCAGGTGCCCTATGGTACCTGTAATCACGGTGTCGATCTATCTGTCGTTCCAGGGGCCCTATGGTACCTGTAATCAAGGTGTCAATCTATCTGTCGTTCCAGGGGCCCTACGGTACCTGTAATCCCGGTGTCCATCTATCTGTCCTTCCAGGTGCCCTACGGTACCTGTTATCACGGGGGTCCATCTATCTGTCGTTCCAGGGGCTCTACGGTACCTGTAATTATGGTGTCCATCTATCTGTCGGTCCAGGTGCCCTACGGTACCTTTAATCACGGTGCCCATCTATCTGTCGTTCCACGTGCCCTACGGTATCTGTAATCACGGCGTCCATCTATCTGTCGTTCCACGTGCCCTACGGTATCTGTAATCACGGCGTCCATCTATCTGTCGTTCAAGGTGCCCTACGGTACCTGTAATCTCGGTGTCCATCTATCTGTCGGTCCAGGTGCCCTACGGTACCTGTAACCACGGTGTCCATCTATCTGGCGTTCCAGGTGCCCTATGGAACCTGTAATCACGGTGTCCATCTATCTGTCGTTCCAGGTGCCCTACGGTACCTGTAATCACGATGTCCATCTATCTGTCGTTCCAGGTGCTCTACGGTACCTGTAATCATGGTGTCCATCTATCTGTCGTTCCAGGTGCCCTATGGTACCTGTAATCACAGTGTCCATCTATCTGTCGTTCCAGGTGCCCTAAGGTACCTGTAATCACGGTGTCCATCTATCTGTCGTTCCAGGTTCCCTACGATACCTGTTATCACGTTTGTCCATCTATCTGTCGTTCCAGGTGCCCTACAGTACCTGTTATCACGTGTGTCCATCTATCTGTCGTTCCAGGTGCCCTATGGTACCCGTAATCACGGTGTCCATCTATCTGTCGTTCCAGGTTCCCTACGATACCTGTTATCACGTTTGTCCATCTATCTGTCGTTCCAGGTGCCCTATGGTACCTGTAATAACGGTGTCCATCTATCTGTCGTTCCAGGTGCTCTACGGTACCTGTAATTATGGTGTCCATCTATCTGTCGTTCCAGGTGCCCTACAGTACCTGTTATCACGTGTGTCCATCTATCTGTCGTTCCAGGTGCCCTATGGTACCCGTAATCACGGTGTCCATCTATCTGTCGTTCCAGGGGCCCTACGGTACCTGTAATCACGATGTCCATCTATCTGTAGTTCCAGGTGCTCTACGGTACCTGTAATCATGGTGTCCATCTATCTGTCGTTCCAGGTGCCCTACAGTACCTGTTATCACGTGTGTCCATCTATCTGTCGTTCCAGGTGCCCTATGGTACCTGTAATCACGGTGTCCATCTATCTGTCGTTCCAGGTGCCTTTTCATTTCTGTAGAATATTTGCATTTCAGAATCCAAAAGACTAATATTTTTTTAATTTGATGAGGAAGAACAATGTGATATGCAGACGAGCAATAGGGATTTAAAATGTTGTTAAGGTCAAGGTCACAATCACAGTTCCTAAATATAGATCACAAGTGCTTAAGGTTTTTACCTCAAAATCCAAAAAAAATCATCTTTGGAAATTCAAACTGTTGTATATATGTAGACATGCAAAACAGGTTTGAAATTTTTTCAAGGTCAAGGTCACTGTTACTAACAATAGAATGAGGGTTATGGTCAGACACAAGGCGGGGCTTTGATGACCTGTCAGTTTTCTCGTCTGATAAGTGACCAAAGGATGATTGGTCCATCTAAGTCAAGCTTGTTCATATGATTTAGACTGCTTTATATATATATAGTTCAATTTGAAAGTTTCTGAAATGCAACTCATTTGAGCTATACTTGTTTAGAATATCTGTATCAAGTTTCATCAAGAAATGTCTATTAATAAAGGCCTTAGAACAATAAAAAGGGAAAGTTTTAACAAATTGACTGGCAGAGTGACAGATACCCAGGGTTACATAATACGATAATACAACCTGTCATTAATAGGAGTATAAATGTCACTATTGTTACAGATGGAGCCACTGGAGCTGAAGCTGGAGAAGGAGTTGGGAGAGGACAGCATGGTTGTAGCCTGTCGTTTCCGCTTCCCAAACTGGGAGCCAGTGATGACCCTCGGTGAAGGAGTGGACACTGTTTGGCTGTATAGAATAAACAAAATGTCAATAACTCAACCAAGATAACATTAAAATGTTAGGTAATCTTAGGATTAATTTTTAAAGTGTGTGACAGTCAGGAAATACTTGAATTCAAATCAACAATCTCTTATAATTGACAGGTTGGTGCTGCTAGCTAAAAGTCTTGTTTACACAGGTTTCCTGGTTGTGTAGGGTCTGGATTAGCTCACTGATGTCCAGATCATGGACGTACAGTACATCCTCGATATACAAGGGTTTCGCTCACTTATGCTCTCTGCACCACTGGAATATGTCATTGCCTTCAGTGTACACCAACTTGTGGATGAGATAAGAAGGCTAGTTCTATCCTTTGATGTTCATCAAAAGAATCTCGCGGTCACCTAACAGTAAAAATTGACAGGCTTTGAAGTCGTGTGTCACTCCTTTGTAATCTTCAAAGGACAGGTATCAGCCTAGCGATTGGTCAGGTGTTTTTTTTACCTAAGACCAATCAAACAGCTGTCATCGTGCCTTCACTTTTGCTATGACATATTACAGGGGTTACACTCACTTTCGCTCTGTGCACTCCTGGAGTGTCGAGGATGATGGATGTACTGATCAGCAGTCCTCTGTCCAGCTAGTATTTAGTTAGCCAGGCCTATGGCTTGTCAACATCAACAGTGATAAAGTATTAATGATTTGTAGTTATATGAATACATTGTGTTGTGTGATACATGGATATGTTGAGTGCATATGTCCGGGTATGTTATATTGAGTCGTTTTCAATGTAGTAAATGTACTACCTTGATCCCCAAATGAAGCGGAGACGAAGCGTAGACTTGCTATCTTTGCTGCATTTCTTCTTGTTTTCCTTCTTCTGAGAAATGGATTCTGGACAATTCGTCAGAATATATTGATACGAGTGTGTGGATGTGTGAAATGCATTTTATTGTCTGATTGGTCATCAAACATGAACACTATGACCTCCTATTGATTACACATTTATGGGTGTACACCAAGGTGATGTCAATGGTCCCCCTTCTAGGTCTGGTTTTGCTGAAATTTAGTATGCCAGTGTATTTTGACATTGCAAACTCTTTGTAATACATCATTTGTGATAACAGGGGCAGTTTTGGGGGACTGCTGTAACAGGCTGAATGCTGTAACAGGCTGAATTACAGTCAGAACTTGTGTCTTTTATAATATATAAAAGATATTTTGATACGAAACAATGTGTGTTTTGTCAAATAAATTATTTGAAAATCCAAATTTTGAATGGTTGTATTATAAGTTCAAGCCAAGATTTTTAGCTCACCTGGTCCAAAGGACCAAGGTGAGCTTATGCCATACCGTGGCGTCCGTCGTCCGTCCGTTCGTCCGTCATCCGTCGTCCATCCGTCAACAATTTCTTTAAACGACTTCTTCTTCTTAACCACTGATTGGAGTTTAACTAAATTTCACTAGAAGCATCCCTAGGTGGTTGGGATTCAAAATTGTACAAATGGTGGGGCTGCCCCCCCAGGGGGCTGTGAGGCGGGGCAAGAAGGGGGCAATTTGGCTAAACTGCTTTAAGCGACTTCTTCTCTGGAACTAAGTGATGGATATCAACCATATTAGACTGGAAGCATCCCTAGGTGGTTTGGATTCAAAATTGTACAAATGGTGGGGCTGACCCCCCAGGGGGCTGTGAGGCGGGGCAAGAAGGGGGCAATTTGGCTAAACTGCTTTAAGCGACTTCTTCTCTGGAACTAAGCGATGGATATCAACCATATAAGACTGGAAGCATCCCTAGGTTGTGGAGATTAAAAATTGTACAAATGGTTGGGCTGACCCCCCAGGGGGCTGAGGGGCAGGGCCAAAAGGGGAAATTTGGCTATATTTCTACGAACGACTTCTTCTGTAGAACTATGCACTGGATATCGACCATATTTAATCAAAAGCATTCATTGGATGCAGGGATTCAAAATTGTACAAATGGTGGGGCTGACCCCCCAGGGGACTGAGGGGTGGGGCCAAAAAGGGTAATTTTTCTATATTGCTTCAAGCAACTTCTTCTCTGGAACTAAATGATGGATATCAACCATATTAGACTGGAAGCATCCCTAGGTGTTGGGGATTCAAAATTGTACAAATGGTGGGGCTGACCCCCCCAGAGGACTGAGGGGCGGGGCCGAAAAGGGGTAATTTGGCTGTATTTCTACAAACAACTTCTGTAGAACTGGGCTTGATATCAATCATATTTAATCAAAAGCATATATGGGATGCAGGGATTCAAAATTGTACAAATGGTGGGGCTGAGGGGCGGACCAAAAAGGGTTATTTGGCTGTATTGCTTTAAGCGACTTCTTCTCTGGAACTAAGTGATGGATATCAACCATATTAGACTGGAAGCATTCCTAGGTGGTGGGGATTCAAAATTGTACAAATGGTGGGGCTGACCCCCAGAGGGCTGAGGTCGGGGCCAAAAGGGGGCAATTTGGCTAGATTTCTATAAACGACTTCTTCTGTAGAACTATGCACTGGATATCGATCATATTTGGTCAGAAGCATTCATAGGAGGCAGGGATTCAAAATTGTACAAATGGTGGGGCTGACCCCCCAGGCTAAGGGGTGGGGCCAAAAAAAGTTTATTGCCTGGAAATGGTTGAGATCTCCACCATATAACTACATATACAATTGCTGAGTATAAAGATCAGAATGCACATTTGCTTCCGGGATGGCTCTAGGGTCTGGCCCCACCCTTGGAAACATAGTCCTTGGGCCATAACTTAAAAACGGATGAGATCCCCACCCCAAAACTATATATACAAATGCTGGGCATAAAGAGATGAATGCAGTTATGATATTAGAATAGACCCTGGGGTCTGACCGAACCCCTAGGGATTAGTTTCTTAGTCACAGCTTGGAAACAGTTGAGATCCCCGACCTATAACCATATATAGACAATTGCTGAGTATAAAGAGATGAATGCACATATGCTTCCAGGATGGCCTTGGGGACTGCCCAACCCTTGGAGGCTTAACCCCTGGGTCATAACTTAGAAATGGTTAAGATCCCCACCCCAAAACTATATATACAATTGTTTTGGGCATAAGGAGACAAATGCAGTCATGAAATTAGAATTGACCCCAGGGTTTGCCCCACCCTTGCAGACTTAACCCCCGGGTCATAACTTTGAAACGGTTGAGATCCCCACCCCAAAACTATATATACAAATTCTGGGCAAAAAGAGACAAATACAGTCATGATATTAGAATTGATCCTTGGGTCTGGCCACAACCATAGGGACCTAGTTTCTGAGTCACAGATTGGAACCAGTTGAGATCCCCACCCCATAACCATACATAAAATTGCTGGGCATGAAAAATCGAATACAGATATATATGCTACAAGGATTGGCCTTGGGTTCTGGCATATTCCCATGGATCTCATTTGGAGAATATTCTGCCATGATTGCTTAGATATCCAGGTGAGCGATACAGGCCCTATGTGCCTCTTGTTAGTTATTGCATGACCAGCAAGTTTATTTCCTGTTGCAGTAGACTTGGTTAACAGTTACTTCTTGGCCGAGAGGCCAGGTGTTGTATCACCAACAAATCGTGTTCACATTGGTTTATGACACGTAGCAGGATGCTTGCCCACTAACCATAGCAGATATATATATATATATGAAAGAAATATACTCAATGTATTTTTTTAATAGAAAACTCTTGGCCATGTGGGTTTGATCCGTGAACTTCTTAGATTATAAAACAGGGCTTGCTGAGAACGAAGTTGACTTTACTTTAGGATCCCTGTCCTGCTGCAGAAAACACACTACAAAATTACAATACACTGTAAGTTTAATTACATTTAAAAGGATAAATATTGCTTTTCTTAGCTCTCCAAACCCGAAATAGATCAATTTGTTTTCTCAAAATGACGTCTTCTCAATAACCGATAGGTCTAGAGTGATGAAATTTGGCCAATAGCTTGCTGGGATGAATGGCTACCAAATTTGTTCGAATACATGACCTTGACCTCATTTAGAGATCATTTCGGTCAAATCTGTTGAAATATTTTCAAACAATTTCTTTTGAATAACCAAAAAGGTCTGTTTGATGAGTTTTGACCAGTAGCCTGCAGAGATGAAAGGCTACCAAGTTGGTGTAATTGGAGTACCTTGACCCACTTTCAAGGTCACTGGGGTCAAATGTTTGAACAATAAACATCTTTAGAATAACCAAAAGACCCAGGGTGATGATATATGGACAGTAACATGCTGGGATGAATGTCTACCAATGTTCAGATGAATGACCTTGACCCACTCTCAAGGTCACAAATGTGTCATGTGTAAAAAAAATCTTCAAAACAAATTAATAACCAAAATGCCGTGGGTGTTGATGTTTGGCCTGTATCTTGTTTAGCCATTTTTTATATGTATTTAACCTTGGTCGGAGTTTAAGGCCATTGGGACAATCAATTAAAAAACCCAATAACTTTTAAGTAACCAATACCCAAAAGACTTAAGATGATGATATTCGGCTAGTTGCATGATGGAATGAATGGCTACTAAATTTGTTCCAATTAATGACCTTGACCCACTCTCAAGGTCACAAAGGTGTAATGTGTAAAATAAGGTATTTAAAACAAATTAATAACCAAAATGCTGTGGGTGGTGATCTTTGGCCTGTATCTTGTTTAGCCAGACCTTGGTCGCGTTTATGGCTACTGGTATGAGATTAATACCAGGTGAGCGATTCAGGCCCATTGGACCTCATGTTCATACATACTGTAATCTTTCTTTTTTCATTTTGGTTGTTTTTGTTTTCGGTAAAACTAGATCAACTGGTTCCGGATACTACCGTGGACCAGGAAGATCAGTTGTTCAGAGCGCTGACCATGGATTAAGCAGAAGAGGTCCAGGGTTAAATCCTGTTCTGGCCTCATTGCATTTAAAACTTAGAACACTTGTTTCAATATCAACCAGATTTGCTATGAAGCATCTTCGGGACCATGCAGAGAGCCGGGACCTAAAAAGAGAAAATGTTAGTATTTTTAATGTGAACATTATTTCCACGACTGCTTAAATATCCAGACGAGTGCTTGTTTATAGTATGACGACCTCGACATTGGACCCGAAAATTACATTATAAACCTAAGAATACACTCTTCGAAAGAAAGCATGCAACGTGTGAATTTCAAGTTTGATTGGCCACCAGCACGTGAGTTATTGCACGGGAACCTACTTTCTATTTGTAGTGCTAATTTCAACTCGACTTTTAAACCTACTTTCTATTTGTAGGGCTAATTTCAACTCGACTTTTAAACCTACTTTCTATTTGTAGTGCTAATTTCAACTCGACTTTTAAACCTACTTTCTATTTGTAGTGCTAATTTCAACTCGACTTTTAAACCTACTTTCTATTTGTAGTGCTAATTTCAACTCGACTTTTAAACCTACTTTCTATTTGTAGTGCTAA